AATCAATAATAATGCTTATGTCCTAGATCTACCTTCTGAATATGGCGTTAGTCCTAGTTTTAATGTTTCTAATCTCTTTCTTTTTACAGGACTGGCTACCCAAGAGGAGGATGCTTTGGATTTGAGGACAAATTCTCTTCAAGAGGGAGGGGATGATGGAGGAAGCCCATGGGCCAAGGGCCCAACTACTAGGGCTATGGCAAGAAGGATTCATGAAGAAGGCACATCTTGCTTTGCTAATAAGGATTGCGTTGTTAGTGCTCCGACATTAAAGAAGATTATAGAATGATTGATCGAAAGTAATGTGTGTTTAATGTTAGTGAGAAATGGAGCTTAGGAGATATGTTTTTTGTTTTATCTATGAACTTCATACAAAAAAAATTATTTAATACTTTCAGGAACGAAAGCACAGGAAGCAACGACAGAGAGGGAGAGAGATGAAAGGAGGTGAGAGAAATGTGTTGGAAAAAAAAATTAATAAAAGAGAAAATATTTTTATTTTTTAAAAATAAATATGAAATTATTATAATAACCTTTATTTAAATTAGTTAAATAAAAAAGTGAGTTATTTTTTTATTATAAATTTTGATATAAATTAATAACGTACTCTAATTAAAAAGTAAATAAGAGTGTGTTAACAAAATATATAATATAATATTATATTATATAATATAATATTATATAATATAAACACGCGCGGTAGTATAATAATTAAGTATTGTTGTCCCAATGTTTGAGTATAGGGTGGTGGGATTCAATCGCTACTTATTTCTCTTTGATAAGGTGTCACTATCACGTTTTCAGCAAAAAAGTTATTAAACATTTAATAAAAGGAGGACCAAAAACAACTAGCTTGTTACCAAGTGATTGTTAGTAAAGTTTAGTATTGAAAAATCACAATTTTTTTTCTTTCTAATGGGGTGTCTAATTTAATTAATTTTAAATAAACAGATATTTAGTGGAGTGGCTCATTTAACTGACTTTAAATAAACAAATATTTTTCTCCAATTTCATGTATAAACACATAATGTCACCGACATTATACATTATGTTATACTATGCCAATGATTAATATCATGTCAACAAAGGTTTATTAAATATTTAATAGAAAAATTGAAATTGTGTAAGATTGAAGTTTAATTCACACAATTAAACCAAAAACAACTATTATTCGGTAGTGTTGCCAAGTGTTCGTAAAAGATCAGTATTGAAAAATTACAATTTTTCTGTGTTTTATATAAAAAATTATTTTAAAATAAGCTAATTTTAATACATATTTAGTCCAGTACTCCAGTCAGAGTGTCTCATTTTTTTAAAGAATAACTATTTGTTTGTATTGATTTTTGTAGCTCATTTTCAAATAAACAAGTATTTTTTAAAATTTCAGCGCGAATTTAAACTTTAGTCATATATAACTTTTTGACTTAATTGTCTTATGTTGTTATGTTTTATGGTTTTACAAAATTTGTTACTCAATTTTTAAGTTTACATATTTAATAATTAAAATTTTATATATTTTATCATTATATTAATCCACCATTAATATATTGATTGTTGATATGATATATAAATGTGTTATATCAATAATTAACATACCACGTTAGCGTCAATTAGTAATGTTTATCAGTTAACTAATAAAATGACAATAAAATGACAAAGAGATAAGTATAGGTAATTATTGATGTGATATATTGATTACTGACATGAATTGATAATGAGACATATAGATGATAATACAATATATTGTTAGAAAAAGAAGTCCCACATTGGTGAAAATTTCTCACTTAGATCCCACTAAGACTATAAATAAAGTCTAGTGGTCCCCCTCCAACACATCTCAAATCTTTCTGTAACGACCCGTCAGGTCTCACACAGTCTATAACGTTAGGAGGGAAAATATACAAATACATTTCCCATACCATACACAACGCATAAAATAAAATATTACAATTAAACAGTTATATACGTACTGATAAATAACAACTAAATGTCTCATCTACATATATACAAGACTGAAAATGTGATATAATATCTTATACAAAACATCTGGCAACCAACTGCTACAAAATAACAAAATGTCAACTCCTCTGCTGAGTCTCAACCAAGTTAGCCTACTCACCATCGCAGCACCTACTTCTAATCTGCTCGGATACCAAGGTATGATCATCGTAGTCCCAACTACAAGGAAAAATATGATAGGGTAAGCTCACATCAATAAACATCATAAAACAACGTCAACATACAAAAACAACAATAGAATTTAACTTTTTGTGTCTTTCAACATCAACTAAAAACAACAATATTTTCAACACATTCAACATAATACACAACTTCAATGCAACCACATAGGCAACATCCATGCAACATCATATGTAACATCTACAAATACACTATCACCCATATACCACTAGGAGATCTCCAACAACTGAGGTTGAATAATCTAGGTCGCATAAATCCTACCAAATCCAACGTTTGACCTATCTCAACCAGATTAGGTATAGGGCATCATTAGGAACTCTGAAGAGAACCAGATATAGACAATTATAGGCGATTGCTCAGGTGTGCCACTCATATTTGGAAGTCCAGTACTATTATCAAGGCGGAAGGGTTTGAGTGTGGGCCTACCACGACCTTGGCTTGCATCACCAATCCACATCTGGAGTTAGCTCACCCACTGCCCTTCAAGTACCACGCACCATCTAGTACCTAACCAAAGACTACATCTCTAACTAGATACCTTACTCAAATT